CCTCCTGTCCCCAGCGCTGATGCACGCCGTGGTGTTCGGCAATGTCACGGCCATCATCCAGCGCATGTACTCGCGCCGCTCGCTCTACCACACCCGCATGAAGGACCTCAAGGACTTCATCCGCGTCCACCACCTGCCCCAGCAGCTCAAGCAGAGGATGCTGGAGTATTTCCAGACCACCTGGTCGGTGAACAACGGCATTGATGCCAATGAGGTAGGAGGTGTTGGTGGGGTTTGGCTTGCATCCTCCAGCCCCGACCTGCACTTATGGGGGAGAAATGGGGCTGGCATAAACCCGACTGCCTGCTGGGCTGATCTTGCTCCTGAGCAGGCAGCACAGGCTGGATAACTCAATCCTTCCTGGGGACAGAGTGTCCAAGTACTCAGGCTGCTCGTAGCCGTGGCCACCTTAGCAAGTTTAGTGGATATCAGCCATATCACCTTTGAATATCGTAAGGTAGCTGTGGCTACCTTAGCAAGCTTAGTGGATTTCAGCTCTTTAGTGATTATCAGCTCTCCTATGGTTTTAGCTCTTTGCTTGCTAAGGCACCTTGCAGGCTAGCTGGGAAGCAGATGTGAAAGAGGAGAAGAAAACATCCTGGGGCTCCACAGCAATGGGTTTATTGAGGGGTCTGTGAAGGGTTCCAGTGACGGCTCTTCTAACCAGAATGGGCTCAAACAGCCCCTTTTTATAGGGTATAAGGGGATCCAAACTTGTCCAATAGCAGGGGTTAAGAGAAAGTGACCTATGGGGTTACAGAAATAAGCTGGGGTCTGAAAGGCAGAAGACAGGAGCTTATTTTGCTATTTCATCATGCTCAGAAATTCCTATCATTAAGCCTTGGCCCTCCAGAGGCCATAGCAAGTTTGGAGCCTGCTACACTGGCAGGGCCAGCTCTGGGGCAAATTCCTGCCAGCATGGCGAGTGGGACAGGCTACGGAGCAGAAACAGCTGATTACCACGGTGCCCACCTCTGCTGAGACACTGGGGCAGCTCAGCAGCGAAATTCCCCACTCTGGAGGAGAACCTGTCCCCTGGGGCTGCAGGAAAGCTGCTCCCTGCCCCTCATACCCACAGCCCCAGTGTCGCTATAGGACAC